GGCCTTGGACCAGCAGTAGCAACATCACCTGGGCACTTGTTAGGAAAACCTGCAGGATCAGAACCTCTGGGGGCGGGGCACTTTGGGTTTTAACAAGCCTGCAGGGGACTGGGCGAGGTATGCCATGAGAGCATGCCTTGAGCCCCAGCGAGGGCGGCAGGGCCTGGGGTGCCCAGTCCACACTAGGGGGCCTCCTGCCCGTTGGACAAATACAGGGTCTGGCACAAATAACACCCCTTTTAATTACAAAATCATAAGCCTGTGATTCTGTAACATATAACCTGGCTCAGACACTAACATGGTCTTCACATCCTCTTGCCCAGCATGAGCCTGTCGCGTTTCAGCATAACACTGCATTTTGTTCTTTGGCCAGCGGAGCTGGGGAACGGAGAAAGCACATGGCAGGCCGAGGGGTGTCTGTGGAGCAGCGTTGCCCAAGCGCACCCCAAGGGCCATAGGAATGGCCTGTGGACTCCACGGAGGAACTAACGCCACACAAGAGCATGGTGCTCTCTCTCATTTGACAGAAGTTGTGCAGAGCAGCTAAGCTGAGTCAGTCAGCCCATTCGCTGACCATCCCATTGCTTGGCTTGCAAGTGTCACTAGAAATGTGAAAAGTTGTTGATGGCCCATGTTGCATTGCCCAGACAGTGGGGATGAGAAGGCACTCAATCATTTAATGTGTGTGTGTGTGTGTGTGTGTGTGTGTGTGTGTGTGTGTGTTGGGGATGGGGGTGGGGGACAGGGATGTGCCACTTCATTTCAGCCATATCTCCAATCCAGGATGGGTAACTTGCCCCGCCCCCGCCCCCACGTACAGTGATAGCTATCCAGTGAAAATTTCAGTAGAGTATGGAACAGTTCTAGAACTGACCAGTGAGTATGGAACAGTTCTGTAACTGACCAGTAGAGGGAGTGCTCTCTCCATTTTTGGAGTGGAAATGGCTCTTGAGTCTCTTTGCCCCGTATGGATGGGTCCAGGGGCCAGTTTTCAGTGATAAAGAAAAATCAGATTTAGGCATTGGCCAAAGACACACCAGCCAGAAGCAGAGTGGTTTCAGGAACACAAGGAGACTCATATAGTCTGTCTTACTGCTTGGTCTGTCTTACTGGACAACTGAGACTATCTGAGTTTTACCCCTCTAAACTAGGCTAATTAAAAGTGAAAATACAATCTGGGATTATACTTCAGGCGATCACTTCTCTTGAGATGGTAGGAGCTACAAGGTTTTGACAAACTAGAAGGCAAGGGTGAGTGGCGGGGCGGGCAGAGAGACAGAAAGGGTATCAAACAATGACGTTAGGGCTTTGTAAATGCTACTAACCTCCTCTGCTCACACGAAGAGAAGAGCCTTGCCTGATTGCCCCAGTGAGAGCTGAGTGTGCACCGTGTGTCCCTGTCCCTCAGGGGGATGCCCCTCCCCAGGGCTCCCAGTTCATATGCAGGTGTACAACCTCTTAATAAGTGCTGTGCACGTTGATAGTTTATTTTCTTGTCTTTGAGAACCTTGAGAGGGGGACATTGTTTTGCATTTCCAGCTCATAACATAAATGGTGAAAAATTTGTAAGTGCTCAATAAATGTTGCATAAGTGATTGAAATACATGTCCACAAGTAGGGAACTATTAAGTAAATTATGGTATATCAGCCTTATCGGAATATTATGCAATTACTTAAAATAATGGTTATTTGAAAGCTGCTAATAATCTTAAAACTTCTAATCACAAGGAAAAAAACTTGTGACTACTTGAGGCGATGGATGCTAACTTGTTGTGGCAAACATTTTGCAATATACACATACGTGCAATCATTATGTTGACCATCTTAAATGAATACAACAGTGTATCTCAATAAAACTGGAAAAATAAAAACAAAATAATGGCTTATAGGCCATGTAATAACATGGGAAAAGCTTATGATGTTATATTAAATATACAGATTGCTTTATACCTATGTATGATGATGCACGCATGTGAATGAAAAGGGAACAAGGAGAAATGAAGAACTGTGTATGTGCAGTGGACCTGTGGGTAGCTTCTTCCTTCCTAGCTTGTTGTGTAATCTCCTTGTTGTGGGTTGTCTAAAACATAGAAACCATTTCGTCCTGCACACCAGGGTGACTCAGTTCCGTTCTCTGATGCTCAAGTACTTTGACTCCCATCCTGTTTGTGCGATCTCACCACCTCTTTAAAACCCTTTTTTAAAAAATTTAATTTGCACAGTACCTGGCACCACACCCACATGCACACAGAAGTGGTTAAATACCTTGAATATAAGTGATTTTACTGGTGGCAGCTGCTATAAATAACTTCAAGTTCAAAGACATAAACACCATGTTCTCCCGAGTCAGTCAAGTGTCTCTCAAGTGTTATTAACAGCGAGTCCCCTATTTACACTGTTTCTCACAATGAGCACACTAATGGATCTGATTTTTTAGGGATCAACTGTGTGCCTTCCACTTAAATTTAATCCTCTCCACAAACCTGCAAGGTAAAAATATTATCCTACTTAGTAGAGAAAGAATCAGAAATTCAGAAGGTTTACATGAGTTTTCTAAGATCACAGACACCCAAGTTTCACACCTAAGACTTTAGGCTCCCAAAGGTCATGTTTTTGCCCTGCCTGCCAAGATGGATGCTTTCAAAGAGGTCACAATACAATAGAGGCAATAAAATAATGCACATAAATAACAATCTAACTACAAGGAAACTATCTTGTAAATAATTTGTGCCAAGTATTGCCTAAGTTTGCAGGTAATGAATCTATGTCCACGTGTAACCTCCCCAGGAACTTCTTTCCAAATACTAACCTCCTCGTTGTGCAGTGGGAAGCTCTGCCCGCCCATCAGTCCAGCTCTAGCCAGGATGCCTTAGAGCAGGGGTGTCCGACTTTTTGGCGTCTCTGGACCACACTGGAAGAAGAGTTGTCTTGGGCCACACATTAAATACCCCAACACTAACGAAAACTGATGGGCAAAAAAAAGGTCCTGCATAATTTTCGTGATATCTGCTACCACAGATAAGCAGAAAAGTCCTCACATAATAACCCTAATTATGCAGCGGTCCTTTCAATAATCTTTTAAAATTGTCAAGCAGGTCCCAAGTTTGTGATAGAAAGTATACATACCTAAGTAATAAAACTAAGTAATGTTTTAACTAAATTTACGATTTTGTGTTGGGCTGCATTCGTAGCCATCCTGGGCACGTGCAGCCTGTGGGCTGTGGGTTGGACACCCCGGATCTAGAGCTTACTTGCCTCAGTTTTGGGTCAAAATGTTTTGAAGGTTCAGGCTTTTCACTGAAAATAAAATCACTGTCGCTTTTATTTCAGCCTTGCTTTTATCCATTATGAAACTTTATGAAGTTTAATCTATCAATTAATTTCAGGGGGGTTGGGGCCATCTCAGTGCCTTGCAGGAATGAGGTGTTTCAGAGAGAAGTGGGGGGGGGGGGAGGGAGAGAGAAGAGAGGTGTGCTCAGGCAGCCTTTATCAACCAAAACCTAGAGGCTCCACCCAGAAATCGAGTTTGTAGTGGTTTTCATCAAGAGCTTAAAATAATGTAAATAAAGGAAAAGTGCAAATGAATAACATAACAAGATTAGGCAGAGGCCTAATTCATCATTTGTCTAAATGGAAAATGAAGCTTGATGCTCTACCCGAGTCCATCTCTCCCCTCCCTGCTGAGCCCCATTCTCCTGCTTGCTGTAAGGCTTTAGGGCCTCCAGATCCTATCTTCTCCTGCTTCATGTTCAAACCCGCTCATGGGACAGGTACCAGTCTTAGTGCAGATTTAAGAGAAGGTATGTCCTCTTGGCAATCACTGTACTTCAAATCCTTATCTGTCTTTAGGGACCCAAAGGCATTTTCTCTCCAGTGAAGTGTCATAAAGGCATTTTCCGGGCATGGATCCTGTCCAGGCCCCTGAAGTCACTTCAGGGCTGGCCATCTGTGGGAATGACTAATTTGAAGTCTGGGGGGCAGGGCAGTCTGGTGGGAGCTGGTGTCTTGGTCTGGGAAGCTGAGGCTGGGAGGGTGGGTTATAGGAGAAAGAGTTGGCTTCAGAAACATGTTACCTACCTTATATATTTGCCTGCTGTGAAAAATGAGAATCGTGGGGGGGGGGGGGGTTTGGATAGAAGTAGTTTTTCCACTAAAAATCTAGATGTAATTTTAGTGATTCTCAAAGGGATCTGAGAAAGATCTTAGATTTTGAAGTTCCTATTTATTATAGGGTAACTGGTAACAGATCAAGTATTATGTATCATTTTACATTTCACTTCAATGTCTTTGCCTGAACATATTGCTATTTGTAAAACTAAATAAAGCTGGAAACCTCACCTCCAAGTATCACACTAATTATAATTAAAATGGTATGACAAGAGGGCGGTAACATTTTCTTATGGCTTCCAGGTACCTAAGAGGTAGTATCTTCCTTGGTGGCCACAGCTTCTCTTCTTTTTGGCCTCTTTAATAAACCACCCAGTCCTGCCTGTGGAAATTGGAACGTTTACCATACCCTATTTTTCGATGAAGAAATGGATAGATTGGTTTTATCATGTTAATCAGCAAGGCCTTCAGGAAAAGTGACACGTAGCCATGGGATATAAGGCACATGCAGGCACATGCCACCGGGAGAAAAAGATGAAGTCTGAAGCTTTGGCGGAGCGTCCTATGACGGCTCACTGCGGGCAGTCCGTCTACCCAGTGCGGAGACAGGCATTGGGGCAAGGAGAAGAGTGAACCTTGCCGCTGCGCTGGGCCAGCGCCACCAACCGCCTCTCCCACCTCCGCCCACGCTGAAATCTCAGGATCCCTTTCACCCCTGCCGTGTACCTAAGTATCAGAATTTAAAATAAAAAAAAAGGCCCTACAAAATTACCTTAAAAAAATAAATTTATTTCAAGTCGAAATACTGAAGAACAAGCATAAAGATAAATATTACAGAGCCAAAAATGAGAACATAAAAGATGACTTAAGATAGATGGGGATTCTCCCAGCAATACTCTGCATTTACACATAAACAGAGTTTCAAAGACATTTCCCCACATTCACAAAAAGCAAAAGCTGTATTTGCAACATTTGTCAAGGCAAGATATTGAAAGCATCCGGTTTCTTTCTGAAATCATTTGATTAAATTTGCACAAGTGTTGGTTACCAAACTCTATTTCCCAAAGATATGACACAGAATTATATGACATTCTTGTTTGACGTATTACAGACAACTTTAACTGAGAACACAGAAAAATGATCAATTCATTTTACCTTATCATATTTTATTCTTTTATGAATCAACAAGAAAAAATACACATGACATATATGTATATGCTTTTCAAAACAAAGTATTCCAATTTTTATCTGTAATTTGTTCAAAACCCCAGGAACTCAACAAGTACATGATTATTTTAAACAACACTGACAGTTTAAAAATAAAAACAATCATTTATAAGAGGGACCTTAAAGTATATTTTTGGCCATAAAACCTGTGCTGTTAATAGCTAAGGAAGGTAATGAGTCCCCATATTCTGCCTGAGCTATCACCAACTGAATAAAAAGGCTAAAAGCAGGTTCAGATTTTAAACTCCCTATATCCATACAGTAACAACCACAGCTGTTTATCCCAATCGCCCAGGGAAAGTCTCAGCTCTATGTGAACCCCTGTGGCGCTGTGATCTGGTCTACCCCATGAGGAACGGCTTTTAAAATTTTTAAAAGACCTTTGAGATCACATTGAATACATTCATTCCATGGATGAAGTAAATGTTGGCCAGAAATTGACAGGGACAGCTAGAAACAGATCCAGGACAGGGACCTGGAGCCCGTAGTCCGCAGTGAAGCTGTTGTGATGACACAGCCTCCAGGGGAAGAGTCTGCGGAAGGGACTGTCAGGTTGGTTTCGGAGGACAGGACCGGTTCACTATAAAGCAAAGTGTTTGCTGTGCCCAATCAGAACTGCTAATTCACCTCAAGGGTATCATCATGGGGCTACCTGATTGGCTTGTTTTGTTTATGTGGACATAATATAAGTATTATGGCTGTTTAACTGTCATTACTCTGAACATGATATTCCCTCATTAGTTTAGACAGGAACGCGAACAACATTTAAATTCTCACTGTAAACAAAATGCAGAGGTAGGCACTGTGGAAACACATTTGGTCCTGTTCTGCTTACCCTGAGCGTGTGAAAGAGCAGACGCTCCCTACGGTGTACAGACTGTACAGTCTATTGTGGAGACAAGAAGCCACTCCCTCAAAACCGAGGGGGCATGTACCTGGGCGCATTAGTTCTCAAAGGAGAAGGGTCATAAAAAATGACACTGGAGAGCACACAGCGTTTTAAGAGGTCTCCACTGAGCTGGAAGGAATCTTCAAGGCAGAAGTATAAGATGTGACACAAGAAATCATGGAAAAGGCAGTAATACATAGGATGACATTTTCTAACTAAAAAGTTATATAATGGAGAAAAAAAGAGAAAATGAAAAAACCAATAGGTACAAAACTTCTCTATTTCAAACTGGAGTGAAAAAATATAGTGTTACCGCTTATGCCATGATAAAAGGCATAGCAGAGAACTTAAGACGATGAGCCTGCGTCTGGCTCCTCTGCTTCGTTAGAACGTAAGACCAAAGCCAGTCTGTACGCCGAATGCTTTTCATGGCCACTGACGATACCTGTTACAAAGCACTTTGTAACAAGAATAAGACAAATGGGAAAATCATAGCAGCTGTGTGGAAGTCTCACCCCAACACTGTCCTTGGGAGGATTAGAAGCATCATGTTGCTACACTGTAGTCACACTGAGGGGCTCCCACAGATGGGAAGGGAGCCAATTAGGAATACATTGTGTGTATGCTTGGTTCTCTCGGATGTGTTTACAAATAAACTGCATGTGCTCTTAGGTGACTTAAAGGGATTAGACCTCCACATGATCATTTTAGAAAGCCATCTAAGCTTCTGTTTTCTACAAAAAAGAAAACCATTGACTTTTGAAAAATAAATGTCGAAAAGCTTACTTTCAGATTGACAATATAAGACTAAAAATGGGACACTTGATAAATGGTAGTGTTAAAATGATGTAAACAAAAGTATTTTAAGTAAAATACTGCTTAAATTAACAATGAACCAAAAACAGTGATTGCATTTCAGTGTCATATAGTACGTGTCCAGTTCTCATAACTTAAAGAAACCAAGACTTACTGCTCAATTGTCATGTGACATTAACTTTTCATTTCACCTCAAATTGCTGATTCTGACTGCTTGGACATCCTAACAGTTTTTGATTCTTGATCTGCGGGACTATCAACTGGCACCTGTAGAAAGAATCAGAAGAGAAGAAAATTTATAGCATCTGCACATGCCATTATTTCAGACCAGTAGTGGGCTCAGGAATAAGAGAGCTGAGTAGATAGACTGGTTTTACGCTTACTCCATGTACACATTTCTCAATAGTATAATCATAAAAATATTTATTACTTACAGCTTTAATATCGCCATTTGTAATTCTGGTATTTATATTGTGTCTTCTCAGATCAGACTTGATTAATGCTGAAACAGAAAAGCATCAATAGTTACCAGAGAATGTATGAATATACGTTTCTCCAAGCACTGCAAAGTCTTTTTTGATACTGTCAAATCTAGCACACTACAGTGCCATAACATTCAATAGCATCCTTGTACTCTGAAAATAATAGTACCTCTCTAATTCATTAACTTCATTAGCAAGTCATTAATTAGTGAACAAATATAGGATGCCAGGAAATAAGGATACAAAGATGAACAGTGCAATTCTTCCCCTAAAGCAACCTCCCATCTAGGGGAATATTGACATGCAAACAATTATAACACTGTATAATAACGGCAATAATTCAGCTCTGTATGTGGTATATGGAAGCATGAGAGAAAAAAAAGCCTATGTTAGCTGAAGGAAATCAGGGGTGGCTTGCCAGAGGAGACATACTGGAACTGAAACTTGAGCGACGAGTAGAAACTCGTCCAGCACAGGAGAGGGTCTGAGAGGAAGGCACCGCGGCCGGTGGGATGCAGTCTGGTCTATGCAAAGGCACAGGGACAGGAAGAGCATGGCCTGTCCTTGTCACAAAGGTAGTCAGGGGCCATTGCAGGAGGTGACAGGACACGAGGCGAGGGAGGTGGGTATTGTGCCCACGGTGCAAAGAGTTGACTGTGTATCTGAGAGGGGAGGACACCCTCAGCCTGTAACAGAGTGAAACGCGGGTGCCCAGTCCCTGTCTGTCTTCCAGCCTGCATTTCCCCCACAGCCTTCAGGCAAATGGCTCCCGCTGTAGATCTGCTAATCATGAGAGAAATTCTGCTTGAGGCTTGAGTTTTTGCAAGAATAGTCCCTTGCCAGGAGGTGCCACTCAGAGGTGAGGAAATATGTACAAAATGATGATTGTTTATCCAAGATTTTCATGAGCCTCAAGAGCTACGGACAGGGAACAGAGAGATGTGGGGATTCCTGGCTCTTCCTGGGACCCCTGCTGGCCCCCGGTGTCTGCGGCGGCCAATCACTTCTTTTCCTACCCATTCTCCCTTCCCTTGACATGAAAGCAGCCTGGATCCTGGCATCTCTTAAGATGGCTTTGAGGAAGCTCTAAGGTTCCCCACCTCCATCTTCTTGACCTTTTCCATCAATGAACCTTCCCTTACTCCAAATTAAGAAATTTTGAATATTGGCCTTTTGAGGCATCTGGCACATACACGGACTTTGGACTAGTAACAGCCTGCATATTAGGGAGCCCAGTCTGGCAGCTACATGGAGGATACTTATTGGCAACAAGACCAGAGGCAGGAAGGTCAGTTAAGAGGCTTTAATTCTGCTGAGAGATGGTGAGATGGGCATGTGAGAGAAATGTAAATAAAGGGACATGTTTCAGAGATATTTTAGAATAGAATCAGTAAGACTTGATGATTTGGTAGAATATGGAATATGGCCATAAAACACGTAAAAATGCCAATTACATGCTCAATAACACGCATGCACACACCAAAGAATATGAAAACAGAGGAAGCAGAGAAAGAAAAAAGTGACTTTTGAATTTTCTAGTTTGAGCAATTGAATGGTTGGGGGTCCTAGTTGCTGAAGTTAAAAATACAGAAAGAACACATGTGACAGGAAGATGGGAAGTTGGGCCCTGGACAGGCGAGTATAAGATGCCCGTGGGACATCCAGGTCCAGAGACAGATATATGATTGGACATGCGGGTCTGAAATGCACAAGAGGTCAGGGGGCCAGGGGCACAGAGGTTTTTTTTTAGTGTTTACAAAGTTTTGTTAAAAATTACATTTTATTGACTATGCTTTCACAGTTGTCCCAATTTTTCCCCCCTTGCCCTGCTCCACCCAGCCCCCCCACTCCCTCAGGCAGTCCCCACACCATTGTTTATGTCCATGGGTCAGGCCTATAGGTTCTTTGGCTGCCCCATTTTCTCTACTGTACTTTACATCCCAAGGCTATTCTGTAACTACCTATTTGTACTTCTTGATCCCCTCACCTCTTCACGCATTTCCTCACAGCCCCCTCCCATCTGGCAACCTCAAAACGCTCTCTGCATCCGTGATTCTGTCTCTGTTCTTGTTTGCTTAGTTTGTTTTTTTAAGATTCAGTTGTTGCTAGATATGTACTCATTGCCATTTTATTGGTCAGAGTTTTCATCTTTTTTCTTAAATAAGTCCCTTTAACATTTCATATAATAATGGTTTTGCTGATGATGAACTCCTTTAGTTTCCTCTTGTGTGGGAAGCTCTTTATCTGCCCCTTGATTCTAAATGATAGCTTTGCTGCATGGAGCAATCTTAGCTGTACGTCCCTGATTTTTATGACTTGTAATACTTCTTGCTAGTGCCCTCTTGCCTGCAAAGCTTTTGAGAAATCAGCTGATAGCCACGGGAACGCCCCCCCCCCCCTCCGCCCCATAGGTAACTGACTGCTTTTCTCTTGCTGCTTTTAAGATTCTCTCTTTACCTTTAACCTTTGGCACTTTAATTATTAAGTGGAGACACAGATTTGGAGTTACTAGTATAAGTGGTATTTTAACACCGTAGACTGCTCAAGGATAGTGTAAAATAAGAAAAGAAGCTAAAAGCTCACAGGTAGTTAAGTAATTTAGTCAGTTATAAAGCAAAGTAAAAATAAGAGATGAAAGTAAAATTGTCATTGTAAAAGTTAGTGTAATGCTTCCTTTGAAATCCACACTGCCCCTTATAATTCTGCTCCATTGCTGATACCAACAGTTTAGAAATTCAGATATTTATGTTGAGTATTTGGACATATAAATATGGCCTTTCTAAGTGCATTTAAATGACTTTGAAGAAACTGGTGCTGCTGTGTAATGAGATCATATTTAAAAGTAGTTTAGATATTAAAACACTATGCTTTAAATTGCAGCAACGATCGCCACTGACTGAGCAGCTCTACAATGTTGTGCAACTTGCCAAAGCAAAGAGACTACTCACTTATTTTTTCAATGGATGCAAATGGGCTACAGACAAATAATGTGCTGTATAGAGAGCTGTCATTACTGGAAAGCAAAAGGCACTGCCTTCAAATGCTAATTCCTGGGCCTAAGGAAGAACTCCCAGCAATTCTGGGGATGGGGCGGGGCGGAGGGGATGTGAAAAGAAAAGGTATCACCTTCCCCACACCTAGGAATTTCCCAGCCCTCTTTCCTGTCTATACAAATGAATACTGGATATCAAATTCATCACACTCCAGTAAAATACTCAATACGTGAGACAAATAACTTAGCATTTTTAGATCGTAGAAGCATCATTTATATTTTAAGTAGGAGAACTTAAAAATATACAACAATTTTAAAGTTCTTTTTTCAATTAATTTTCTAGAATTGACTTGTTTGAATTGACATTTATTAATCTGACTACACAAATAACATGAAAACAGAGTTCAATGTGTCTCCCCCTATTTTGGTTCAACGATATTGCTGTTTGATAGACATATGCTACTTCCCTGGAAATTAAGAATTGACATGGAGTTATTTATGACAGATCACAGTTAAGGTGGTGAATGTATTACTGTAATGTATTACAGTTTTGTACGTTTTATTTTACTCACTGAAGAGAACAGGGGGAAAAACCTCCCTCACAGCGGGATGTGTTTTTGTTTTCTTAGATAATTTTTATAAGAGTTTATTTGAACCAAGCTAACAACATATGTCAGGGAGCAAGACCTCAGATACTCCTGTAGGATGTTTTTCTTGGAGGACCCAGGGGACATTCACTCTCTTTAAACATAATAAATGAATGACAGCGGCCTTAGGTGGTTGTATATTTCCAAAATAAAGGATTCCTACTGGTAAGATTTCATGTCGGGGTTTCAGAATGAATGCTCAGGTATGCAACAAACATAAAAAGCAGCCTCAATGTATGTCTTTCTGATAGAGTCTGTCTCATGCTGGTAAACGGGGGCAGAAAGAAATGAACAAAGTGAAATTACAGTAGAAGCCAAAATGGGCAACAGCACTACTGGGCATGTCTTGCTTCTAAATCCAGTTTCATACTATGTGGCTAGAAAAACTAGGGATACAAGTTCTTTAACATGCTCTTTCTCTAGAGATGGGGCACTGTTCACGTTGCTGCTCACGTCTATTCTGAGTGTACCCGAGCAGCGTGAGAACTGGCTAACCACGCCAAACGCTCTTTCCACCACCGCCACATTATCATCAGAGCCAAAGCGATGGGGCCCGTCCCAGATGTCAGACACTGTTTAGGCGCTTTTCATGAATCACCTTCACTAATCCTCATGGCAAAGCCCTCTAAGGCAGGCTTTTAAATACCCTATTATAAGTGAGGGAAGGGGGATTCGAAAGCTTGCGTTGCTGGTCCAAGTCCCACAGCTAGGGAGTAACAGAGTCAGGACTTGAGGCCGGGCATTGCCCACTCTGGCTCTTTACTGCCTGTTGCTACAGCAGTTTTGTTTTCTATGCATAGTAACTGTATTGAATTTGAAACCTGAAAGATAAATTAACAGATTCATATCACTGAAAGAAAACAATGTCCTGCTTTTTATCTCCATTTTTCCCTTGAGTTCTTTCAAGCCATTCAGAATCAGTATACCTATTTACCTGTTAAAATGATGCCCACGAACATCCAAACACAGAGGAAAATGTTTCCTGCCATAGGGCTATATTCTGATGTGAGCTTTCCTTGAGCCAGTGTGAACAAAATTCCAAATATCTAAAATAAAATAAGGGAATTATTTTATCAAGTTTGCTTTTTTTAAAAAAAGATGTTTATTTTTAAAGAGAGGGGAAGGGAGGGAGAAAGAGAAGGATAAAAATGTTGATTGGTTGCTTACAACGCCCCCAACCAGGGACCTGACCCACAACCCAGGCAAGTGCCCTGACTGGGAACCAAACCGGCAACCTTTCAGTTGGCAGGCTGGTGCTCAATCCACTGACCCACACCAGCCAGGCTGCTTTTTAAAAATAAATGTACTGTTTCCCCCAGAACTTTCCTTAACTCTTTTATTCTTTTGCTCTGGCTTCTAGAAATATTCATTGAAAGATGGAATTTTTAAAACAAAAACTAGGGCAAACTTATTATCCACTAGAATATTCGGTAAACAAACCATCTCAGGCTGAAGGAGAACAGAGGCTGACCTGTGCCGCAGCGTTAAGGAGACCCGAGGAAGTGCCTTCAGATTCAGGGTAAGTGATTTCAACAGCAAATTCAAAGCCCAAGGGGAGGTAACCGGTCATGAAGAAACTAGGAGAATCAATCCGGAATTACAGAATTAGCGGGACAGTAACACATACTGAGGCAGTCATTCTACTCCTCAGGCCTATTCTAATGATCAAGTAAGGGAAGGTTTTGAAGCTGATATGTGAAAGTAAGGCACTGTTATTGTTCAGCAATTGGTCCAAGGTCACAAGAACTGAGAAGTTAAACAATTTCTAATTTCTTTTTCTGAGAAAAAGTTACTGCTAGTTTTCTAAGTCAGTTGTCTTTCTAACTAAATAAAGTGACTTGAACTAAGTAAGGCTTACCTGTTTTTCACCTGCATACCCAAAACACAATTTAAAACTATTTCTTATCTTTCTAAAGAATTATACATTTATATGCACAGGATGAACCTTTTAAAACTTAACATGTTAAAAAGGCCTTGGATGAACTTTAAAAATTAAGAAATACAGTAATAACACTTCACAATTGCAACAGCATGCTATTATTCCTTAGAACACATTTGATGCTTACCCAAGCACCCCTCCAGTAACAAACACGATGATAATGTGTCCAAGGTCCAGCGTGAAAGTAAATATAACCATTCCGAAGAAAGACAAAATGTAAACTATCAGAGTAGTCTGTCTAAAACAAAAACAAAAATCATTAGTGTTATGTCCTAAACACATAAAAAGCGCATGGTCAGCCACTGCTCTGTCCATACAGCAAAACATGCTTTGGTTTTCAAGATGACGTTTCCCTTATTGATGCAAAATATTTCCACCAAAACATGGGCTTCAAAGCTTACATTTCAACAGCAGCAGACAACAAAACCCACACCGTATCGAATCCTCACACAGGAAGGAATATTCACATGGATATGGTTTCCTATCTGTGTTTCAAGGCACAGATTAAATTCCTCCTTTTCTGTGTCTTTCCTAACCATTGAAGCTTATAACATTGTTTCTTCCTTCTAAATCCCCTTATCTTTTTACTATATGCATAATTGGCACTTGACATCTATTGGACTTAGGACCTCTAATTTAGTCTGTAGTAGTATTATTTAGTTTTTCACATGTGAATGCCTTGTTTCTCCTATGTAGACCACAAGTGTCTTCTGGACAGCGACCACAGGTCACTTGCCGCAATTCCTAGCTGAGGGCGCTGCACACGGCTGCAGTTACCCCGAGAGGACAGCCAGGGCGGCTGAGAACACATTTCAGTGCCTATCAGGTTTTCCCATTATATGATGGACCAAAAACTATTAATAAATTTAAACCTTTACATATCCCCGTTCATCTATAAATTTGGGTTTTGCTTGAGCTACCATTTCATGATAATGAAGCCATAGCAATGCTATCTTAAATTACGGGAGAACTGTCTTGGAGAATTCAAGATCAGAGGTAATTTGAAAGGGTATAGATAAAGGTATAAATATATCTTGGGCCTTGAAGGTGCATAGGACAGAGTTCCATATTTTATTCATTCCATTCATTCATCTCAGTTTCATTCATTCATGTATGCATGCATGCATGCATTCCTCGCAAGCAGATGGAAAGTTTCTGCCTATTAAAAAAAAATGTAGCTTTTTTTAAGGCCCAGCGCAAAAGATGCTGCTTCTGAAACCCCTTTCTCAGACTCCGAGTTGATATTACTCATTTTTCCCTTTGTATTCACATTTTGCTGATTTCATATGGATGTACAATTAATATAGTGTTTTCATATTATGTATCATATATAGTTAAATGGTGCTATAGTTAAGGGCACTTTAGTCTAAACTTTCCACCACAATCATCCTTAGGCTCAAGAATGATAATTTGACAGGAAAGAACAACTTTTTGTTTGTTTTTAAGCTCACAACATGATAAAAGAGCAGTATGAAATTTCTGTCAGAAGTTAAATGTTTCTCAGAAAGGGCTTTTTTTAGAATAGAAGTGGTATGTATGAATATTATTGGAAGTGAACAAGGTTCATAATGTATGCAAGTTCTCAAAGTTGAAAGAAATATGACCAAGAAAATAAGAGGAGATACAGACTAAAGGAACATTTAGAAGTGAAAGGGACCTAAGCGTCCCTAGAATCCAAGTCTTGTAGTAATAACACTTTTAATTTTTTTTAAATAAAAAGCAAAGTTTTCTTTAAAACTAGAATACCTTAGGTTGTACACCATACATTTATCTACTTTTGCTTACTTGTATGTTTTGGTATAATCCAGCCATAAGCCGCAAAGAATGGAGCCCACCATTCCAGCTACCACCAGTGTTAGCCCAATCCTTCCAGCATTCACCTCTTCTCCCTTAAGAGAATTTTTATAAGAAGTTAATCAGACACTTCTATTCAAAGACAGCCTTCACATTCCCATATCTTCACATAGTCAATAGAAATAATCAGATATAATTAAGCCTACAATATAACAGGAAGATTCAGTATATGTTTTAGGATGGGGATCGGGAAGGTAAAGCACATATAAAGGACATTCTATTGTATTTTAAAATCAGGGGGGAAAAAAACCTAAAGAATGGAGAAATCAAAAAGGAAACTTTTCTTGCCCTGGCAGGATATTTAAGTTAGTCGAGTGTTGTCCCGGAACACCAAGGTTATGGTCGGTCCTGGGTCGGGGCACATACAAGAAGCAGCCATGAATGCGTAAGAAAGTGGAACTACAAATCAGTGTTTCTCTGTCTCTGTCTCTCTTTCTCTCTAAAAATCAATCAATAAATTTTTTTTAAAGGAAAATTCTCTTGATCTTCCACAATAAGGCGCACAAAGATTTTTGTGAGAATTTGTCAGTCAGTCACAGATGTCTGAAAAGGAGGTTAACCTGACAGCTTTTACATGTCACAACTGCTCTCTCCTTTCAAAGACAAAGAGGGGTCAGAGCTTGATATTTACTTCTTTATATTTGTGTTGGTTTTCCCAAAAATTTTTGTTTGTCTTTTTCCATATAACCAATCACATCATTTCTTTAAAAAAGAATAATAAAGCCCTGACTGGTGTGGTTCAGTCGGTTGGTTGTTGTCCAGTAAACTGAAAGGTCGTGGGTTCAATTCCCGGGCAGGGCACAGGCCTGGGTTGCAGTCAGGGTGCGTGCAGGAAGGAGACAACCGATCGATGTTTCTCTCCCTCTCTCTCCTCCATCCCTCCCCTTCTCTAAAATCAATGGGCATGTCCTCAGGTGAGGATAAAAAAATATTTAAAAAAAGATAAACGAACTGGCATTGTCAAAGCTATAATAATTTCCTGCTTTCCATTTTGTGTGTTTTATAAATTGGATTAAATGTATTCTCAATTAAAATAATATAAATCTTTTATAGCAACAAATTCATAAAATCTTTAATCTTATGATATCTAACAGGAATACCACTGCTAAAGAAAAATTCTTGGCTAGGCAAGCAAGTCAATATAGTCAGAAGCTTACCTCATAATATGTCAGTATCATTTGATTTAATAATGTTGAGACGGAATAAAATGCTCCAGTCATGATACCTACAATAATAAGCAGAAAACTATAAATGTACCATTTACTACTTCATAAAGTGCTATAGAGTTCTCTATAATTGTGAAAAATGTACCATATTTTGTTGTGTATGATGCACATTTTTGCCCAAATTCTTTAGGAAAAAATAAGGATGCACGTTATACATGGGTAATACCAGAAATACCTTCTATCTGTTTTTGTGTTTTGTAATGATTTGTTACATAATTACTTTTGTACCATAATATGTTCAAAAATAAATGCTAAAATTCCTTTATAATACAAAAAACAAGTACCTAAATATAAATGAATAAAAAATTGAATTAAAAAATTAAAATGAAAGATTTTTTTTCTGAAAGTTAGGGCCAAAAACGTAGGTGCACATTGTACACAGAAGCGCATTATACTTGGCAAAATACGGTAATATCTTTCTAATTTGACAAAAAAAGTGAAGAACTCTTGCCACTCCCTTTCAGGATGTGGACTGATACAATTAACCTTTAACTTACTAGAGAATGATAGGAAAGTTCTGTCATGATACTCTGTATTATTCTTTACACTCTGATACACTGGCCATAAATCAGAACCCCACACATTACACTGTTTATGGCAATGAAGCAACAGATTTCTTACTGAGCACCTACACTGCAGTAGAGCTAAGGAGTGTTAAAGCATAAGACAGAAATCCTGATTTGAAGATCTCACTCCTGCATCAAAACTTACAATGCAATTAGTAAGACAAAATTAATTAAAGAATACTTAAAAGAGGAAAATAAAAACGTGGTTATCGGGAAGCATGACAAGGTTTGAATCCTGGTTTTTCCTTGCACATGATGTGTGACTTTAGGTAAGTCTCTTAACCTAGTTGAAACTTGTTTATTATTTCTTTCTTTTTACTACTAAATATTTCAAGCATACAAAATAGTACAGAGATTAATTTAGCAAACACTCTTACTCTTCACTAAGCTTTGTCAAACATTAACTCTTTGCCATCTTTGCTTCAGATTCATTTTTTAGCCCTTCCCTAATCTCATCCTTCCCTCCTAATCTTTCTCAGAGGTAACCCTGATCCTGATCCAGACATTAGACCTGTTGACGAATATTCTAGTTTTTCTCTTTCCAGGCACTTAATGGAATGGCTATATGACTTTAAATGTGAGCAAAAGTGACATTTTCCACTTTCTGCTTTAGTAATCAGGCAAGCATGTGCCTGTAGCATGTACTTGCTGTATAACTTCTCGTGTTTTTACCTTTTGATGAACATCTCTTACACTGCTGTTTACTTTTCAGATGTTTCTATTATCGCCCCAATTGAATTATAATTACTTCAGAACAGAAATCATATGTCATTCTTCTTTCTAGCTCACACAGCCTCTAGGGCACCATTGTTGATATCCGGTAATTATTGATGGAATAAATGAATAAATAACAAAATGAACAATGAGTGAGGTAGCTGTTAAGCTAGCTCTTGGAGAACTGCTTGAGAAAAAAAGGAGTACATTGCAGATACAAGAAATAATGGCACAAAATTACAGAGACTAGAATTAACAGTATATGAGTACACGTGGCTGTGTGTGTGTGTGTGTGTGTGTGTGTGTGTGTGTGACACAGAAGACTGGTTATAAATTTGACTGGAAGAGAATTTTGTATTGGAAAACAGTGAGAGAGAGAAGAAGATAGGAAAGAAGCCACCTTAAATGACAGGCTAAAGAAATGAATTTGTACTTTTAGATTCAAGCTAACCAGTGGAGGTAACCAGCAAAATTAAGAAAAGGAACTTGGCATGCTAAGTATTTAATGATAAGACATTGCAACTATTTCCTGGAATAGTCGCTTTAAACTATTCCAGGAAAAAAGGAGAGGTAATAGAGTAAGAATGAGGAAATGATGGTAACTCTTAAAGCCGAGTGATGGTGGATACATAAAAATCCGTTTGATTAAATGTTCTACTTTTATGCTTAACAATTTCCACTAAAATAAAAAGGAATTAATCCTGGTAAAAGGGTGAGAGTTTAGGTCAGGGCATAATTTGTTACAAGCTATAAACAATTACATACTAGGGTGTGCCCTCCCCACAAAATGTGAAGGTGACAGCAGTGGGCAATTTCTGAAGCCAAGACAGACAGACAGAGGGGGTGTTGGTGGTTAATATGAAGTGTTCCTAAAAGAAACAAAGAATAAACTGTCAAAAATCTCTGAAGCGAACCAAATGAGTTGGTGCCTGCAGTCAAAGCTACAGAGTTAAGATGAGTATCTGTCAGCTATCCTGAAAGATCTGGAAGGATGAGAATTTTTAATGTTAGAACTGGTCGAGGTGACCTCCTTAATGTCTAGTAGTCAGTACAGACACTAGTCTTCACAGGTCAAACAAAGCCACCGGTGGTGGCATGTCCCACATGTTCACAGCCGTCATAACCATAGTTCAGAAAGGACCTAAAACATCCATGAGAACTCACAAAAGAAGACAATGCTTCTCTATTTGAGATCTGTTTATTTTAAAAATATGTGAGAAAATCCATCCTGAAGTTTTTTCTCTTAGTTCAAACTTTAAGCTTAGGACTACTATCATTATTTTCATAGAGTCAACAAACCTCCCTCATTAATGAAAGCTCTAGCCACCAGATTAAATGAAAAGACTCTACAATGCTCAAAGGTTTACATAGACATCAAAGAGGCTAAAAGAAAACCACTTACCATAAGTGATCAATAGAAGGACAAACGGAATGTTTTTAAACAGGTTCCTTATTGATTTCTTATAGGAGTACTCTTCGGGGGGGCTGTCTTGAAGAGCTGCTTGTGCCTGACTTGGTGGATAGTCAGGTTTTTCTTTGAATGCTGGAAAAATACATGAAAAGGTAATTAAATAAATGTATCTTCCCTAGTGAGCAGACCAAATTCTGTTTAAGTTTTAAGGAGGTAGTGAAAGTCTAAAAGTGAGGCCTTTCATTGTTCACTCATTTCTAAGTGATGACTAGTTTGGCATTGAAACTGACTAAAACACAGAGATTTGGCCCATTCAAAACTGCAAAAACAAAAAAAACCCCAAACCCCTGAAAAACCATTACTAATATGTCACAACCTTTTTCACTGATTATTCCATTTTTAGTTAAGCAAGATTAATTGTTATTATATTAAGTACTCAACAATTCTACTTCTAAATTTAGTTCAATTTATACTTAGAGATAGCATCAAATAAGAGCAAGCCAATATATTATTGCACTTTTAGATGATTGTCTTGAGTTAGTAAATATTTCTTCTGAAATCTGATACGTCATCTATCCAATTACTTCTCTAGAAACGAAAAGGTCCAGGTGAATTCATGGGGGCAGAGCTGGGTCCTTCTTGCTGACTCACTGTGCTGCATATGGAAAAGCTAGGGGTAGAGCTGAGAGACGCAAAAGCGCGACGGCTTCTGATTCTACAAGTCCTAGCACAACCCACATCTACAGAGCTAGAGACAGATTTCACAGGCTTCTCAGGCAGCCATTTAGAGGCTGCCCTTTTGCTGGGCAGGGAAGTATCTACAAACTTCCTGCAAAAGATGGCTAAGGGGAGATTTCTGTAGGGTTTGGCTAGCCAGGAGTCAAGGCTACTTAATAGAAGAGCTGAACTGCTAAAACTTGGTACATCAGAAATTAAAATCTAGTTTTAATTCTGACTCAAAAATTTAAACTAAAATAAATGGAAAATTCTGTACTTCATTAAATCTAAGATGGTCTGATGCTGGCACTCAATGATCTTGCCAGGTATCAATAGGAGGTTTTCATATAATCATGTTTCAATTGCCACCAACATTACATGCCACTGATTATTAAAAGCATTTCAGTTTCAGAAATTTCATTAAAAATGTACATGCTAGAATCAATGAAATAGGGTAAATTCAAAAACCAAAAAAGAAGGTAAATGGATTCAGAAAAAAAGTAGTATTTTCTAAAAGATCAGAACTTCTTACTCTCTCGTTCTCTTTTTTAACAGTGGCTAGTTCTTCCAACAAGGAAGGCCTGCTTTGTAGTTCAAAAGTGGGCTAAATCAAATGTAGCTAGTTGTCAATCAAAGTCATATAGAAATTTAAAAATAATACAGACTTTAAGAGTCTATCCAGGACTCAATGAATCAGAACCTCCAGAACGGAACCTGAGAATCTGTGTTAAACACAAAACTCTCCAAATCCCATCAACACCCAGCCAGGTTTGAAAATCACTGTGAAAGAAATCATCCTTAAAACTTCTATATAATATTGTAATTCTCTAATTCTCCTGTTTGCTGCTAAAAAAAATAAAAATAAAATAAAGTTCTTTACTCACCATAACATTGATTAATTATGATATAACTAAAACAGACTTCTATTTTTACAAGTCTCGCAACCAATTCAAGAGGAGACATAACTCATAGATATTTACTTTTTGATATCCTTACATTGGAGGACTGGTAGACATAAAAGCCTTAAGTTGCTGCAATTCCTCCTCTTCCTTTCGCCCTATCTGCTCCTTGCACTGTTGAGGACGTCTGCTGTCCTTTCCTGAAAGTGTCCTAGTTGAGATAGGAGATATCTCTTTTTATTAATATTGATAATATGGAACTCACACAGTTGTAAAACAAAGTTTCAGAATGTAAAAACACTTACAAGGTGGTCATGAATATTTATTTAGAGCCTTAAATCTCTTAGGTTTTACTATAGTAAAACAAGTCTTAAATGGCTAAGTTCTGAACTCAAATGCAAAATAAAAACAATTCTTAATAGTCTTTAACTCCACTAGATTATTTTCTGAATACAAGTGTTATCTTTTTGTTTCAGGCAGTCAACTGCTCTCTTGACCAAAATCAGGCCTGTATCTACTAGCTACACAGTATAATAAAGTTGGGTTTAAGTCTACATGAAAGAAAAGAAAAAGGAACAAAAACCATTGGTCTATGACCCTGTTTAAGCTGTACTGCATTTTCAAAGGATGAAATATGGCTCTTTCCTTATCCTTTGAAACTGAAAAACAATTGCCTTCTTACTCTCTTCTCTTCTCCCCACCAAAAACTTGTGCCAATAAAATAATTAACTGTTAAAGTAGTTATTCTCCACCCCTGGCAATAGGCATACAAAGGAGCCAAAGGATTTTGGGCACCACCTTCAAACTTTCTCACGATAAAGTAGCTAATCTTCATCATGGGACCACTCCTACTTCTTGAAATTAGAGAATAACATTATTTTTCAGTTTCAGTATTTGTCCTTGGGTGATTCAAGCAGACATTAACATATTAACATATTATAAGACAAATATACGTTTGAATCCTGGCCCTGCCTCTGAAGAAGTCAGTTCCTGTCTTTGACTATAGCTCTCTCATCCATAAAATGGGACTAACAAGCTATTACGTGGATTATATGATATGATACATGTAAAATAATTTTATAATTATTGAGCGCTACACAAAATACACTTTTTCCTTTTATTTATTTTCTTTTTATGCTATCTTTTTGAGGATTTTTAAATTTTTCTGTAAAAATCAGAGACTAAATTTATCTCAGGGGCTTGAAATTCTTAGGGACTAAGTAAAATGTATTTCTGGGAAAAGTTTACAATAGCAGCTTATGTATAAATATCCTGAATATAAGAATCAAACATAAAATTATGGATACACTCATGTGTTTAAGTACCTTGATACTAAATATTTTGATTCCATTACTTTTGTTTTCTGTCACCCACTGACTTCAGTGAATCATGACAGTAAGGATTTTAATGGCACAGTTGAGTTAAGTTTACTGCCCTGCTGTGTGGCTCTCAAATACAACAGCCACTGATACAAGAATTTGAATTGGAACAAAAAATAAGATTAAGAAAAAATTAAAATGATACATATTTATATATAATGTTTTATATATGGAGTTAGATTGGCTAGGCTCAAATTTAATCTTCAGTGTTTAATAACTGTGACCATGGGTAAGTTAAATTTACTGAAATTCTGTGCCCCCGTTTCCTCATCTATAAAATAGGAATGACAGTAATAGTGTTGCCCTCACAGGGCTGTGGGGATTAAGTGAGATAAACAGAGAATGAGCCTCTAAGCATGCTTGGTACATGTCAAACAATCAAACATTAGAAGCCATAATAGAGTTCTCCCAGTAAGAAGGGGGTAGTAGTGGAAATTCAGTGGAAGGCTTGGTTTAATCCCCAGAAATGCTAGATGGATTATACTCTAGCTCCATGATGGAGGATAAAGAGGCACATGGCCTGAACCCTCAAGACAGTATTTTAGGAAGACTGCTAAGTACCAATTTAGTATATGTCACATTGCTGAAAACGTCAGCAACCTAAATTATTTTATAAGATTTGATTGGGCTTCCAAAGTAGTATTCATGGGTAGAATTTAGAGGAAAGTAGGACTGTCTCTTAGTGATTAAGACGAAGGATCTTTCAGTAAGGACTTTTTAGATAATCCAAATTTTCCTTAATAGGAAATATCTGGATATAAGGAAACTGTTAAATATTTTATTTAAATGTCACAATTTTCAACCTAAGACTCATATCACAACTGTATATTATCTTACTTTTATACTACACTTGATATCATAAGGTTAAAAGTATAGGTCACAAGCAAAAATTGACAATAAGCCCTTTTTTTCCTATTCCATTTCCAGTCCATTTTTTCCATTCTCCCCCACCCTCATTTCTATTTCCACTGTCTCCTCATAAGCCATGAGTACATAAATAAGTAACTATGCACCTAAATAGTTCTCTTTTAATTTCTCAAATAACACAGGGTGATATGCCAATGGTCACACCTATTACCATTTTTTTGTCCTCTGCCCTTAACAGATATCTCATATTTGAAGCATCTCATATATATGTTTGAACACATATGTGCATATATAAAATAGTTTCACATCAGTAGATATCTTATACACAATCTATTACTCTCTCAAGTCTTCCAAAGAGACAACTGAAGACAATGAAAAAAAAAGGAAAACCAGAATTTGTGTGAAGATTTATAAGCAATCAGAGAAAAGGAATGTTCTATTTTAATAATCCCTACTGCACAGAAGGCCCATTAATGCAAAATGTATATGAACTACATTTCATCCAGCAAATCAAATATGGGTATCAGAAAAATATACCTAAGAGTTTGTTTTATAAAAATATAGATTTAACACTTCCTTTTTAAACTTTTAAAATAATAGAGGGATAATTTGGCCTCTTTCAGTCATCTGCACACAGCAAATATGCCACTCACTAACTGAAACACAAAAACCAACCATAGTGGACTGGGTATGTCAGAATACTTTTTATGCTACCAAGAAAATATTTTGTTCATTATTTTAAGGGAGATTAAATATGTGGACAGAGCTTCCTATACCTGGATCCTGAAGTTTACTGATAAAGGCAATCTCTATGAAAACACTCCACAGTCTTCAGCATACCTTTTGTGAAAACTGAGGATTTCTCACTGGAAATCATAAAACTTGAATTTTTCATTACTATTATAGCCATGATAAAATTAATATATAAATAAAAAAACCAATTTAATTGTAAATTTTAACGATTAAAAGATGGCCTTTCAACTTTAAAGTTCCTTTCCTCTTCCAAGTAAGACATACTGAGCGCCTCAGGGGCGGCCTGCTAGGTACGTCAGCAGCTATATTACTTACATAAACCTCACCTATCCTCTTCCCTGAAATCAAAATTGTCTCCCATTAAAAATAAACTGTAAAAAGCAGACCTTCCCAAACCTTCTTCCAAACTGACGATGGCAGCTTGCAGCTGGTTTGGACTGACTGCTTCAAGAGACAGGCCCAGGCGAGAGGACGCAGTGGCGCAGGGAGGCAGCAGTGCTTTGCTGGACTGGCCTAACAAGTAGATAGTTGCCACAGTTTGAAATTCTGCTGGACAGCTTGCCACTGCCCAGGATCATTCACTGGTCAACATTTTCAGATCCAGTTACTTGTTAAACTGAGGATCCTCAGAAGGATTCATCATTAAAAGGAAGGCTGTAGCCTATTTGCATCATTTCAAAGCATTGAAAAGAACTTGCTTCTGGCTGGGTTAGCATAAAATGCAGAACGCGTAGAGGAATATGCAAAGAGGAGGCAGGTAATATGTTTGAAACCGACAGTTATCAGGGAAGAAAGTTAGTAGGGAGAGAAATGAGATGAGTTAGTCTTCAAACCCTTTACAATATTAAAATAGACTATAACATAGCCCTAGGGCTGTAGCATTCATTACCTGAGCAGGACAGTGATGTGGCAAGAATGAAACAAGCAAATAGCATTTGAGATAGCAATAAAAATGTTCAGGATTGGTTATTTTTTTTCATATATTTGTCATGCATATATCTACTTAAGCTTTAGGGAAAATAATTCACTTACCAATTACCGTTAAAATAAATAAAAATGTGGAGACAGCTGATGTTCCATAAAACATGGTACTGATATTATGAGCCAAAAGATCTGTGTCATTCTGTGTGTTGGGCACTAAAACTGGTGGTAGCAAAAAACCAACTGCAGCTCCAAGCTGTAAAATAAACAGTCCTGTTAGCAGCCATTCTTAGAAGAGAAAAAGGTACATGCTGCCAATTAACACAACACAAAGAGGACAGCTAGTGTACATAAGGTGCTTTTGTAAACTCTAAAGTACCATGTTCTTTCAACTGTGCTGTTAAAGAGAAAATGCTGGCAGGTGTCTTCCCTATTCAATAAACATTCTCTGAGCTTCTGTAACCTGAATGATGCCACCATAAAGTTAGAAGCTTACAATCAAACAGGGGATAGGAATATGCAAAATAAGACTGAGAAAATACAACCTATAGAGTACGAGAAAATATTTGCAAATCAAGTATCTGATAAGGTGTAGGGGGCCGCTCTGAGTGGTATGGGGCTGTAGTCCTGCCCAAGCTGGGGCCTGGGAGAGACTCCTTAAATCTTGGCCGGAAAACTGGTAATGGGGTTGACAGGCAGGACCTGATAATCACTCCGAGGACCCCCAGGGGAAATCAGGCCTGGAAGTAAATTCAAGGAAGTAAAATACTCCTTGAAGCACGCTTTGTTTCTCCCTCAAGCTCTGTTAATCTTATACCAGATAACGAGCTAATGCTGGGAAGGAAATTTACATAATTAATGGACCTTGACCCAAAACCCATTTGGCGCCATTATATTTACTTATTTCGGACCCAAGCGATTCGGTATGTTCCTGCAATTTGTCTTCTTCAAACTTCACCTACTCTCAGTGACCTTAAGATACTGGTGTAATTACATTACCTATACATTCCTGCTACCTATCCCTCACTGGTAACCCTCTCAATAAAAGCCACTGAGCACGGGGGCTGGGGCATTTCCCACTAGAGGGAATCGCCTTCCCCCTTCATTGACGGGCAAACGGTGTCTAGAACGATTCTTCCATCCGCGGCGATTCCGTGGACTTCGCGGGCCGAAGTCCCCCATAATAAGGGTCTACTATCCAGAATATAGAGAACTGTTATAACTCAACAACAAAAAGACAAACATCCCAATTCAAAAATGGGAAAAGGACTTGAATGGATATTTCTTCTAAAGATGATATACAAATGTCCAACCAGCATATGAAAAATGCCCAGTATTACCACTTCATACCCACTTTAATAGAAAAAAAATGGAAAAATAATAAATGTTGACAAGATGTGGAGAAATTGGAACCCTGTCCTTCTAGCGGGATTGTAAAACAGCACAGCCACTGTGGAAAACCATTTGGCAGTTCCTTCACAAGTGAAACAGAGAATTACCATATGACCTAGCAATTTCATTCCTAGCTATGTACTCAAAGAACTGGTAACAAGTGTTCAAATAAATATTGACTGTTGTATTATGAATATTATAGTAGCCCTATTCACAATAGCCAAAAGGTAGAAACAACACAAGTGTCCATCAACAGATGAATGGATAAACAAATTGTGGTATATCTATCTATACAGTGAAATATTCAGCCATAGAAAGAATGAAGTACTGATACATGCTACAACATGAATGAACTTTGAAAATATGCTAAATGAAGGAAGCCACACACAGAAGGTCACATACTATATGACTCTATTTCTATTTCTATGAAATATCTAGAATAGGTAAATCCAGAGAGAAAAAGCAAATTAGCCGATACCAGGGGCTAAAGGAAGTGGGGGATGAAGAGGGACTGCTTAGTGGGTCCTGGGTCTTCTCTGAGGACAGATGAGAATATTTTGGAACTAGATAGAGGTAATGATTGCACACGATTGTGAAGGTATCCAATAACACAGAACTGCACACTTCAAAATGGTTTCTTTTTTCTTATGTGAATTCCACATAGGGGAAAAAATAAGGCTGAATAGGATAATCACAAGAGAAATAAAATCAAAGTATTAAAGGAGGCTCAGTGGAGGGAGAGATCAGATTCTTTGGGTGATGGAAGTGGAGAGGAAGGCCCTAAAAGGTTCCAAAAAGGCAAGTAAGGCAGAGATGACATTTACCAAATATTTCATTTGCTCCCTTACCAAAAGCAGGTTAGAGACCAACTGGTAGTTACAAGTGAGTGTGGTGAGGAATGCCCCAGCAGAGCTGAGGGCATCATTGGATTTGAAATATTTAAAGTGGAGAGAAAACTGTTTCAGCAATACAGAGAAGTGAGTGCATTGTTGTGGGCGATGGCGCCACTGGTAAAATGCGTCTCCTGATATCCCACACAACAAATTGCTTTCCACCCGAGTGTGCACCGTTTCCGACAACTATGCCGTCACAGTCATGAATGGTGGAGAGCCACATACTCTTGGGCTTTTTGATACTGGAGGGCAAGAAGGTTATGACAGATGACGACCACTGAGTTATCCGCACACAGGTGTATTTCTAGTCTGCTTTTCAGTGGTGTATCCATCCTCATGTGAAAATGTGAAAGGAAAGTGGGTGTCTGAGATAACTCACCACTGTCCAAAGACTTCTTGCTTGCTTGTTGCGACCCAAATGGATCTCAGAGATGACCCCTCGACTACTGAGACACTTGCCAAGAACAAACAGAAGCCTATCACTCCAGAGACTGCTGAAAAGCCGGCCCGCAACCTGAAGGCTGCCATGTATGCGGCACGTTCCGCACTCACACAGAAACCCCTGAAGAATGTATTTGAGGAAGCAGTATTGGCTGCTCTGGAGCCTCCCGTACCGAAGAACAGCCGCAGGTGTGTGCTGCTATGAGCATCTCTCTGGAGCCCTCTCTGCACAGCGGGTGTCGGCATCATGCTAGAAGCAATGTTTACAGCAAACTAAAGACTAAAAATTAAAATCTGTTGTTGCAGCAATGACAAATGCCCTGCACCTACCCACAGTGCTCGTGTGAAACAAGGCCATAGGTATGGTCCCTACGCCCCTCTCAATACTAGTTAATTTTGAGTAATTGTGTATGGTCCGAAAAGAGATCAATACTAGTTTTTTTTGGCAGGGGGGAAATTTTTGTTTGTTAAAAAGCAAGGCATGCTTGTGATGACTCTGTAACAGACTACTTCGGGCTTTTGATGCTGCTCCCAGGTTCCACTCTGGAGAGTGATCTGGGACATCTAGTTTTTGGGGGGTTTTTTCTTTCTTTCTTTCTTTCTTTGAGGAGGTAGTGTGTGTAGGGTTTGTTTTTATTTAGTCGTTTTAAAAAAAATTCCTTAACCATTGGGCAGCCCTTTAGAGGAGGAGGGTGGTGTGATTCCACATTTCACTTCCTAGATTTAGTTTAGAAAACATGTTCCCTACCTGGTGCTCTTAGGAAGGAGTAGAGTAAGTGCCTCATTTAAGAAATACTCCTTTTTGAGAGTTGCCTTCTCTCTCCACCCTCGAGTAGGTTCAGTATTTGATGAAACCTGTGAAAGTGGGTGGAACTGTCTGGCCCCTCCTCTTTTCTACGATGCCCTTTAGATGTGACCAACTTTCAAAGAAATCTGTTAGCCATTTGCTGATTTTTTTAAATTTCTGACTTCTTTTATGGATAAGTGAAGAAAAGTATTGCACCTTTTGAAATAATACCAAGTGGGTTGAGTGCCTAATTTAACAAAAATTATTTTTTCCTTGTCAGTCATTGTCTAACATGCTTAGCATAGCTGTGCAGCATAACAGTGTGTGATATGGTGTTCTAGAACACAGTTGAAGACCTGGTATATGTGAGGGGCGGTGCTAGAAGACAGGAGCCTGTGGAATGATTCACACGCTCTTTCAAGTTATGGGGCTAGAGACCTGCTTCATTAAGAAACTAGGGGTAGAGAGAAAACACTTAACAGCATAGGGACCGGTGCAGGGAATCCCCTTCCTTGTGTTTTGCATGAGGAGCCCTAGAGCAGCCAGTTGAGGCTCTCTAGTTTAATAAAAATCAGAGTCTTATGAAGACTCTTCTTAAGTGTTAATGGGGATTTTATCAGCTTATTTTGGTTTTCATCTCCAATTTTTAAAAATATTTAGGTAATCTCACCGTACCCAAATCCTAATTCTTGTAGATTCATTAGTGTCAAACCAGTGCTTTCTCAAGTCTCAATTCTTTGTATATGCATTCCTTTCAGATGTATTAAACAAACAAAAAACCCTACAAACACACACACACAAAAGAGTGTGTGTGGTGTGTATAATACTGTGATGGCAAGGTTGAGGTGGCAAGACTGGGAAGACCAAATAATTTATTAATCAAACAAGAATACTTCTCAGAGTGAAAGGGACTCTAGGAGTAATTATGCTGCACAACAGCGTACACCTGAACTATCCTAGGCAAACATATGGTTACCCTAGCTGAGACCGTCCTTTGGAGGAGCACCTTGTATCAACTTGGCGTCCAGGAAAAGTTTCTGAAGGAGCAAAGATCTGAATAAGAAATTGGGGTTTTCCTGGTCAAGTGGCTCTGTTGGTTGGGTCATGGTCTTGTGCACCAAAAGGCTGCAAGTTCAATTTCCAGTCAGGGCACGTACCTAGGTTGTGGGTTCAATGCCCAGTTCAGGCATGTATAGGGGCAGCTGATGGATGTTTCTCTTTTACATTGATGTTTCTCTCCCTCTCTCTCTCTTCCTCTCCCTCCCCCTCTCCTCTTTCTAAAATCAATAAACATATCCTTGGGTGAGGATTAAAAAAAAAGTTTAAAGAAACTGGAGTTTGCCAAGTGAGGAAGTGTTCCCAGCCAAGGGGACACCATGCACAAAGGAAGGGGAGAACATGACTTTGTGAGAAATTATAAGTAGAGCAGTTTCCCTCAGAGCAGAGAAAGTATGTGAGAACAGGAGTGGGGAGAGAGGTGAAGCTGAGGAGCTGGCAGGAGGCCGGCTGGAGCGTCACACATTGTCACAACAGACAGTTTTAATTTTATCCCGGGGCAATGAAGGCTACTGCAGGTGAGCCCCCAGGAAGACCTGCTATTAGAAGGACCACACTGGGAGAATGCGGAGAATAGAGGGAAGAGAGCAAGAGCCGCAGAGAGAAAGGTCAGCTGGCAAGCTCCAGGTGAGAGCTGCACGTGGCCAAGGCTGAGTGGCAGTAGCGGTAGAGAGAAATGAGCTAGGAGACAAAGTCAGTTTTGATTGGTTGGGGTCATATGGGATATGCAAGGGGAAATCCAGCTGGCTAGTATCTATATGAGTCTGAAATTCATTCATCTACTATTCATCAAATTTTATAGAGAATCTACAATGTGCTGGGCACTGTAATAAATGCTGGTGATACAGTTGTGTGCACTCACACCCCATGCCTAATTTCATGAAATTTACAGTCTAATGGTTGGGATGGGAAATGAGTAATAAAGACCTATGAATATACAAACATATAAATATATACACATTTCAGTGATAAGCACTACATGGAGAATTAAAGTATAATGATGTAATAAGTGACTGGCCAGCTCTAAATGGGATTGTTGAGAATTGCCACTGAATGATATCCAAAGAGAATTTAAACTGAGAGCTGAGTGACAACAGTAAGGATGTAATAATGTCATCCTCGGAGAAAGAACGTTCCAGGCAGAGGGGGTGCTTATGCAAAATCCAAGTTTAATATTGTTTAAGGAACCAAAGAAGACATATTAGTAAGGTTTTGTAATTCAAAACCTTACTATGGGAAATCATTGGCAAATTCAAAGTAGGGTAATGACGTAATGATCTGGTCTACATTTTAAAAGGTTCTCTCAGGTTTGAGACCTGGCAGTATTAGCTGGATAGTTAAAAGCCAGGACTCAGGAGGCAGACAGACTTGAGTGTGAATGCTGCCACTAAATAGCTCTGTGGCTTTAGGAAAATAATTTCACCCCTTCAAGTCTCAGTTTCTGTGTCTATAAAATGGGGAGAGTAATAGCTCCTACCTTACATTATTAAATTAGATGACACATGCACATAAAGGACTTAACATGGTGCCAGGTTTTAGTGAGTGCTGAATACTGTTGGATATTATAATAAATGATGGCTCCACAATCTAGGCTAAGGTGTGCTGAGTGTTAGAGGGAAATCTGCCTGTGTGTTCAGGCTGTCATTCATTACCCATGAAACAGATAATTAATTCATAGCTATGGAGCTGATCATGAATGTCATGCTCGATGAATTCTTAATGTTGAATATAATTTTATAAATGTAAAATACATTAAGAAAACAGTTTCAATGCAAGCATGCAGAATCAAACAACTAAAATAGTGGTCATAAATTATTTTAGATACACAACTATAATTCAAGCTACCCCTTCTGTACTTTGAGAAAGGAAATAAACATAGAGCAGTAAGTATGTAGAGTTCGTCTTTTTTATGGATTTTAAATAAATATTGTGATCTTGGAACAAGAGTTGGACTGGAAGAAAGTAACATTCTTTTGTTACATAGTTACATGCAGCAATATTGAACAAAGAGGTGATGTTTTAGGTAAACACATTTTTAACTAGTTGAATGAACACTCAATACAATTTACATAAAGTATCAGAGGACTCCATATGCAAAATTTAAATTACAATAAAAGAATCAATCTGCAATTAAAAAAACTACACAAGACATTCTACCTAGTAATGCTAATGGGATTTGGGCCTATGGTGTTAGAAAAGAGACTAGGAAGCACCTCAAGAGACTTGGCAATGTTAACCACCCTTTTACAATGGATTCCAAGATCTGTGATTTGTCTTCATTTTCTTAACTGTTAAAAATTGGTAATTGGACTCAGGAATGCTTTAAGTTTTTATCACTAGAACATTTACTTGGTAGTCATTTATAAGTGTCTGCTATGTACCAAGCACTTGGCCAATTGCTACTATACAAAATTAAACAGGGCTGTTGACACTGACCACTCAAATAGGAACAAACTTCCCAGAATCCAACACCTTCCTTCTGCAAATAGACTAGGGGTGACAAAATAATATCTAGGCAAGTCTCATTCATTCCTGCACTGACAAGTTTTCTAGGATGTGAGGCATACAGGGGCCAATTCAGTTAAGTATTTTATAGGCAATACTCAAAGCAAGATGGTTAGGTGCTCCTTTGAAACTGGTTTTCAAAACTCTGTCCTTACAAATAGATCAAAACCCCTCTTTAATCCAAGGCTGCCTCCTATCTCCTCCATTTATGGACAAGCCTCCTGAGGGTCTATCCTTATGCTTAGTTCACTGGTCCTTTAAGGATCCGATTTTCATTTATCATCTTAGTCCTTACCTGATTGCCTAGCACGGCGGTAGCACAAGCTGTGGACACCTCTTTGGGCCCAAACCACACTGAGGCGATGCGGGAGGGTAAGCCCAGGATGAACACCTGGGCCACGGAGCACAGGGACTGGCCCAGCATGGTGACCCAGAACAGATGCTGCTGCACGCTGCCGCACTTGATCCAGGCGCCCAGGCAGTTGAGGCCGGAGCCCAGCATGGCGGTGAGCCGCAGGCCTCGGGTGTCCAGCAACCAGGTAGCTGGGAAGATGAGGGGCACGTAGGTCAGCATGTACACCATGGACAGCCAGTCGATGTGCAGTGAGGACACGCCGTAGAAGCCCTCGAAGACGTTGCTGATGATGCTGTATTGGATCCATTGGAAGGCGTTAACCAGCGAGTACAGGCTGAAGATCAGAAGCACCACAAAGCGCCGCGCGGAGAGCGCCGTCCGGGGCACCGGGGAGCCCTCGGCCCCTGGGGTCTCCTCCCCGGGGACCGTGGGCAGCAGCCGAACCTGGGTCTCCTCTTCCGAGGCCAGCTGCATCTGCGGACTGCCCAGGGCTCCCGAGGCAGCCGCGGGGCTGTCCCGAGGGACTCCATTCAGGGCCAGGCAGCCGGCTTTGGGCTCGCTCTGCGAGTCCGCGCTCGTCTTCCCGGCTGAGGAGCTCCCCGGGACCGGGAGGTATCCTTTCGCAGGAGCGTGCCCGGGCGCTACCGCTATCCCCTCCTCGTCGTCGGGCCGCGCCATGTCCCCGGGCTCCCAGGGGCTGCCTCGCGCCCCTAGCCGCCTCCCCCGCCCAGTACCCACCCGCCCAGCACCCGAGGCCCTCCCTGTACCCCAGCCTCTTGGTCTACTGCTCGGTGGGCCTTTCTCCGGTGGAGAGAGGCCGGATGTGAGCTTCAGTCGCAAAATAACGCTCCCAGATCCGCCAGCGAAGTAATTCTACCCACGCGCGGCCGGGGGCGCCAGGCCAGCCCGGAACGTGTCCTATTACCGTGCGTTGACTGTCCACCGACCAATGACTGGTGCCTTGGCTTAGCGCAGGAGCCAATGAGAAAATTCCCTTGAGGGGCGGGGCGGCAGCAAGTTGGCAAAGGCAGGGCTCGACCCAGTCCTGGGACCTGGAGGATGACTTGGCAGAAGGCCGCCGGCGGAGTGGGCAACTCGCGTTGCGGATCGAGGGGCGGAAGAAACGAGGCGGGGCGGAGACGAGGTGGCAGGCACCATCTTCTCCGCCGAGAGGGGCTCCCCTCGGCCCGGGTCCGAGACTCAGGAGGAGGCCGAATTTCCTCCCTCGCTCCAGAACCGCTGCCCGTCAAGGTCAGACCCTGCCTTTAGAGCACACAGAGCCACGTTTCATGAATTCATGTTCTCTTCTCAAAGGAAACACACCAGAAAGGCTTCCAATCCGTGTAAAGAGATTACGATATAAATCTGTTCCTGTGAAGTTGGAATCCCCCCCACCTCCACGCCGCTGCCAAATGAGACCAATGAGGCGTCTGCTGATGAGTCAGACCCTGTCACTTAGCACTCGCCCGTGGATCGACACCTGTGGTTAGTAATTACTGGACACGCACATTCACTGAGTTCAGTGGGTTCCAAGTACCGAACTTTTTTTGAATGGTGTGTGCCAGACACTGTCATGGGCTCTGAAGAATACAAAATGAAAATGAGACGTAGTCTCAGTTCCCATGAGCACATGTAGCCGTGCGAGTCTTCCTGGAATAGAGAAAAAGTTGGCCCTGCTACTTTTTTTCCTGCTACTTCTTGGGAAACAAAATTAAAAAAAAAAAAAAGACTCCGAATAGTCATTAAACTGAAATTGAAACTAGAGATTTCTCACAATAATCTTAACTATAGTGTTAAATAAATATTTACTGAATGATTGCAGCTAACAAGCATTAGATGTTTAAAATAATTACTAGCTTCGTAAATGAATGCCTCTCCCCCCCCCCAAAAAACTTGTAAATTTCCTCTGCAAATATGAGTTTCTAAACATTTAGGTATTATTTTATATTATTGAGTGACGTTCCCTGAATTAACAAATAACTAAATGTGGAATCCAGAAGACTCCAGTCTTAGTTAAGAAGTTTATTTTATGGATTTCTGAAAAATGAAGTAATTAATTGCATTGGTTAATATTCAGCACAACTCATTCAATATTTAGAGGCCTTTTTTTTAGTCCTTCATGCACCATGAAAACCACATAGCTCACTAAATAAATAAATAAATAAATAAATAAATAAATAAAAGCTATTCAGAAAGGGAATCCAACGGGTAGAATTTTAAATAGAACTTGCTTTGCTTGCCTCAGTAGTACCTTCATTCCACATGTTCACAGTAAACATTCAGGTATCTGCCAAGTTCCCGACCTCCTTTCTGAAACCAGAAACTGGAAAATTACATTAGGCCTCATTTTCCTCTGCAGAGAGGCAGCATCCTCCGTGCCCTTCTGCAAGGAAGCCATTCTTTCTGATTGTTTAGCCTCCTTCTGTCGATAGATAATTTGTTCTCTCTATGTCCTTTGCAAGAAAGATTGAGTTAGGAGGCCTCTGGGTACCCTGGAAGCCAGTCAGCATCTAATTTCCCTCCACATATTTACCAGCTGGTGCCTATCCTACTCTTGCTCACCTTGTCATTTGCTCTCCCTGCATATGACAAAGCTATGTATGTGACACTGTCACCATCGACAAGGAGTGGACCACCAAGGGCACCTAGAGCCCAGCTACTTAGATTTGAATCCCAGCTTCAGTACTAACTGTAGGACCTCACGCAAGTTACTTAATAGCTGCACTGTAACAGTACATGCTTCATAGGATTGCTATTATGAGGACCAAGTAAGTAACGAAGAATGTCTAAACATGGCATGTAGTTTGGGTATTCGTAGTTGCAATTATTAATGTAGTCTATGATAGAGGTTAACGGTCCGATTTCAGGTCCAATTGGCCTGGATTCAAATCTTAACTCCTTCACTTATTCGCTGCATGACTTTGGAGTACTCTGTGCCTCGGTTCCTACAACTGGAAAATAGAGGCATTATTCTTCATGAAAATAGTGTGAGAAATAAATGGCTACAAAATATAAAGCACTGCCCTGGCCAGTGTGGCTCAGTGCTTGTAGCACGGTCCCGCACACTGAAAGGTTGCAGGTTCCATTTCTGTTCAGGGCATGTGCCTAGGTTGCGGTGTGGTCCCTGGTTGGGGGCACGTACAGGAGGCATCTGATTGATGTTTCTATCTCACATCGATGTTTCTCTCTCTTTCTCCCCTCATCTCTCTCTTGAATCAATGAATATATCCTCAGGTGAAAGTCAAAATATAAACATATATATAGCACTTAAAAGTAGTACCGGCCTGACTTCTGATCTGTAGTAATATTCTGTAAAGGTTACCCATAACCACTATTATTGACTCATACTTCCTCAAAGTCATATCTCACTCTTGTGTTATCTTAGATTTGACCCCATCTTATCTATTCAAGCCTGCATGGATTGTTCTGGAATTATTCCAAGCTTTTCAGACTGGATTTGTGATTGCAGAGCCTCTCCCTGCAGGGTACTCTGTGGATGCCCCTAAAGGGCAGCACACAGTGATGTATATTAACTACCCTTGACCTAACAAGAGGTAGATTTCTTTTCCTTTTTTTGTTTTTGAGGTAGATTTCTTATCAATGGAGGTGGTCAACAGTTGACTGGACCACCATGTGACATCCCTAGACAAGTGTTAGATGATATCAATGTTGAACCATGCACGTGGTGGGTAGGGTTCATGCATCCTATCCCATGGAAGCTCAAGACATGTGAGATCTAGAATTTCTTCTGATTTTAATTTCTGTGATTTATAAAAAGTAAAATTAGGTATTTCCAGGGAAAGTATCAGACAAAAATTCACATGCCTATTTTAACTAAATTCTGTAAAATAAAGAATGGAGTATGGAAAAGGGAAAACTCAGCAGTATCTTTTTAGTGTCATTCTAATCTCTTAGCCTTACCTCCTCTCTCTTCAGACTTCAGTGGTAGATACTTATTAACCAGTTGAGGCATAAATCATATAAATGTCATATGCTGGGATGTATAACATAACATGAACCTTAATCTCTGCCAGCAAGCACACTCCTGGGGGGCATCACTTGGCTGGGAGTCAAGATGAGATTGAGCCATATTATGGGTGTGGAATGCGAAGTCTGAGAGAGATTTGAGTAAGCAACAGTTCAGTCTGAATGGCACCCAGAAGTCAAGGTCCAAGAAGCTATTAGGAGTGATGTGGCTGTTCTGAGCAAAGGTGTTCTGCCGGTAAAAACCTGCAAACCAGAACAATGCCACTAGATGTTAAATCCATGTTTCATGGGATGGGGAGTAAATTTTAACAGGATTGCGTTCAGTTTGCACCACTATTACTATAGTATGCCCACCAGAACAGCCACAGCTATGCTGTTTTACTCTGTGGAGTGATCAAGTTGAGAAGGAAGGGGTGGAGGAGGCTTAATGATTTTCAGAATCTCTTTAAGAAACTGACATCAAAATTAAATTACCAAAATAGACATAAGACCTCCAAAAAGACCCGGAAGCTTTATCTATAATAAGTTGATGATAAACCTACATCTACTTACCCCTGCCACATATTGCAACTAATATCTTCATTGCCTGATTTACACTAAAAAGACTGTGCAACCTCTTTACATGTTCCCTGTTGATCCAGCACTCTGGAGTTCATTTACTGAAACTGTGATGAAGGTACTGGACCAATGAAAATAGACTCTCATCTCCCTCCCTAGCCCTGGCCAATCCAGAGCATCTACGAAAGAGACTTCATTGCTTAGGTTTTATATGCTTAGAATCGAGAGAACAAATAGCTCCTGAAAACTGTATTTAGAGGAAGTGGCAGATGGAGCCAGGTCACAAGGAGCAATCAAGTTCAAGTGCCAAAGAGGTCTAGCCAACGAAGGAGGAAACAGGTATGAAACCCAGAAATCAGCCGGAAGAGACAGCAAGTCAGAAATGGAGGGCAGAAAGGGGCGCGGAGCAATTCCAGGGTTGATGAGCAAGCATTGGTCAACTCATGGGTACACGTGTGTGTGCACACACACCTCCCACACGCACTTCAACACATCCTTCCCATGATGAAGATTATGGAACAAGCGTGTAAGGACCACGAAACTTTGGGAGAAAAGGTATCGGTGGCGGAGGGATCTGGGGACTTAGTTGTAGCAAAGTAGAGCCAGTAATGACTGTAACCCACTTCACTATTGAGCCTTGGGCTAGACCAGTCACTAAATAGGATCACATTCACATTATTGGAGAAGAGGAGGACACTGTAGGGTAAGAAAATGCATGTGGGTGGGAACTGAAATGGCATTCGGGGGAACTGGTCCGGCTACAGCGGAAAGAAGGCAATTGGGACCAGATTGTGCAGAGCCTTGAATTTCAAGTTAAGGAGTCTCAGTTTTATTCTTGAAACATTAAGGAACTACTGAAATTTGACTGGAGAAGTGTTACCAGACTAAAGAGGTCTGTTCAGCTGCACACGTTAAAGCTCAAGCAAAAGCAAACAGGAGCCCTGACTGGTGTGGCTCAGTGAGTTGGGTGGCGTCCTGCAAACCAAAGCATTGCTGGTTCAGTTAGTTCCCAGTTGGGGCATGTGCTTGGGTTGCAGGCCAGGTCCCCAGGTGAGGCACATGTGGGAGGCATCCGATTGATGTTTCTCTTGCACATTGATGTTTCTCTCTCTCCTTCTCACTCCCTTCCGCCCTCTAAAAAGAAATACAA